TCAAGTGAATTTTTTGTTCTATTTGAAGGGTGATTTCATTTGAACCTCACATACCTTTTACACCCCTATAGTATTTTAGTGAAATTTAAAATTACTCTCTACATCCATTATTTCTTTCTAAACTACCCTCACTAACCTAAACCCATCACAAACCTTTTATATTCACACACACCCCATCAATTATTATTGAAATAACTTAATAATAAATTTTAGGGTATCCATTTTACCCCCACATATTTGAAAACCCCATCACGTGTGTATCCCTAAACCTCATCAAATCTGCAAATAAAACTACATCGAAAGGTCATTGCTTCTACTGCACATCTTCTCTAAAACCCCAAGATCATAACTCCACATCGCAGCTATGGTGAAGAACGACGCCACCAATCCTAGGTCTTGAAGAACGATGCCACCAATCCTAGGTCGTGAAGAATGCAAGGTTAACCTTCAATTTTGATTTGTAATGTTATGTTTATGAGTGATAGTTCATAAATTGGATGTGTTTTAGAGTATATAGATGTATTCATAGTTGTGATTTTGTTGAAAATGTATATATGGGTTCGAAGCTGGTCTTACGAACATGGCTGTAACTTTCAGTGGGATACCACCAAAATTATTTTTGTTTTTTCGTGGTAGTATACCAAATTCGTTTCAGTTTTTCAGTGGTAGTATACCAAATTCGTTAATGATTTTGTACTTAATATTGTTTTTCAGATATGAGGAGGACTCGTAGAGGTAGTACTGAGACTGCATCATCTTGACCGATAGAGAGTGTCTCATAGCCTCAACTAGAAGACATAGAGTGGAGAGGTTAGCCCTTCAAGAAGACCAACCCCAACATGGTCCCTAGACCACTCCGAGGATACTACAAAGGTTCAGGATGTAGAGTTGCATTTGAACCTTTATATTATCATGTGAAATTATAAATTTGTTCTCACTTTCATTTCTTCAATTTTGTTATTTTTACTAAGGCATTGAATACATATTCATTACATAAGTGTGACGAGTGTATGTTGTTCATTACTATGCCGATCGTGTTATTAGGGCAAACAGATGCATTGCGTACACAACCTGCCCACGTTTATCAAGTAGTTGAGAGCTTACATCAAATTTTAGAGGGTACAAACATACAGTCTACTATGACATATCAACGTCGTCATAGATAACTGAATTGTCATCATGGTTGTATTAGAACTCATGGTACTTTGGTTGTTTTGAGGATTTTTTTTGCATATTTGTATTAGAACTCATGGTACTTTGGTTATATTAGAAATGTCAGCATGTTTACTAAGTTCTTATTGAAGATTTTAGTATCTACATACCGAATGATAATGATGCATTCCATAGCTACTTACCGAATGATAATGATGCATTCAGTGTTGTTCCTCCAAAAAAGATACATCTTGAATATCAAATTTGGATTATCCAAAAACAATAAGACTAGGAAAGCTTAAGTATCTCAAGTGTCATAGATTTATAATCTCAATTCCGTGGTGGGTGAATTTTCTTCAGTCATTAGGATCACCGTATCCGTAGTAGCTATATTCTCCATTCCCGGAAGTTGTTTAAACTCATCCACACACACTTGGTACCTCAAGTACAAATGCGTTACATTGCATATAGAATCCTAGGTGAGAATGAAGGTTTGGATGAACAAAATGAAGTAATGGTCATCCTTTATATATATATATATTCCTAATTGTTTTAGATATATGGTGATTTAATAACTTTATTGGCATGAGATAGATTACCTATCTTTACATTTCCACAAACCTTTTTGCTAATGGTATTATCACTGTTATCATTATCTTCACCCTTCTCCGTACCCCATTCCCCTATATGTCCCTCAGCAACCTCAACTTGTTGACCCTCAATCCTACATGACCATACCTGCACTGTCGATTTCTAATGTAGTGTTGGGGGCAATGGAATCCATTCTTCACCGCTTTGGTACTCCTTAGTCACCAAGTATTGTACAAGTCCATGTCTCTGGGGCTCATCATTCATGTAAGCCAAAATGTAACACTTGGCGTTAGACATCCTATGATGCATTCTTTCCAAGGGGCATGGGTAGTCTCCATTATATAAGCAATCTTCTTGATAGTAAGAAATATTTTAAGATTATGGTACCAAGATGGAAAGTTATGGCCCTTTAGACAGTATTTGTCTAGGATATTGGCGAATGCAATTCCAAACATATGTACAATTACTTAGCTAGGTGTTGGATTGTTTTTAAAACCATTGACCAGAGTATTTAAGTCAAATAACACCTCCCACGATTTTTAGCAAATTACACATCCCTTAAAATGGAATCCGAGAGTTTTGATTAAAACTCCTAGTGGGATGGGAGACTCCCTATTACCTTGTTTACCGCACCATAATAAAATCTATGGAATCTCATATAATAAAGAGGTGATGCGCTTGTCCATTCACATCTTTATATGATTACTCATATGGTTCGACATCTAGCAAATGTGTACCACAGAATAATATCGTGAACCACTATTTTATTAGTTAAGTCTTAATCCACCATGCTTGCTTCTATAGGTATTCAAGTATGAACTCATCATAATAGAATATTGGTTATACTCATCACCTACCTTCACAACATCAAATGTATGAAATGAACCCCCTCTAGTATGAATCCTTCGCTTTGGGTATCTAAGTGCAAGCCCAGTGCGTTGGTCACACCCAATAAGAGTCCATTATGGTGGAAGGCCATGCAAGTATATTCATAGTATTCTTCATTTGCTGACTTAATGTTAAAATTTGATTGAGGGAGTTATGATCTCATCATTCATTCACATTTTAAACAAGTAAAATTAACTCATCTTAGGACCACTATTACTTCATTAGCCATATTCATAGTTACACTATAGTCCCACTATTTTGTTTAAAAAAATACGATTTTATTTGAAATTGAGAATATGTATTACCATTAATGAAACGCTTTGCATCCATTAAATATTGATAAATAGTTGTGTATATGCTCTATGGTTTATTATGAACTTATGAATTTTGATGTAACATCGAGCTAAGATGTCGGATCTAGGTCTAGGAAGTTGACTTAGGAAAAGACTCGCGGGTCAGCAAAGCGACAAAAAATACCCATATCTCCTTCGCATACGTGCCTTTCGAGTGGGCTCCAGCCCAGTATATGCTTATTTCAAACCCAAATCCAAATTTGGACCGATACTATTGCCAAACCCAAAATTGACTTTGTCCTATTTCGAGTCAAAAGCCTCAAACCTTTTGCATTGGATTGGAGATGGCCTTACAGGGGTCGTTTGGTACGACGGACTATTATGGACTGGGCTAAATTCTGGGATTGTCTTAGATTAGCTCGGATTGGACTAAGCTGGATTAAGTACTGACCTATGTTTGGTTCTGCGTCGGATTAAGAAGCTGGATTGTAAAAATAATGAAGACCTATGTTTGGTGTTGTGTCGGACTAAAAAATAATTAGTTTAATATTTAATTTTAATTAAGGATTTTGGACCTAAAAATAAATAAAAAGTAAATAAATAAAATTCTAATATTTTTTAAAGACTAAAAATATCTTATCTTTTTTTTATTATTTTTCTTTTCTCCTTGTTCTCTTTTTTCTTTCTTCTTCCTTTTCTTTCCTGGCCCATTTCTTTTTTCCCTCTTCCTTCCTCTTTTCTTCTTCCCAGGCCGTTTCTTGTTTCTTTCTTCCTATTCGTTCCTTTCTCTTTTCTTCTTCCTTCCCTTCTTTTCACTCTCTCTTCATGCTGCCACATATCCAATTGAATCAACTTCTCTCTCTCTGGTTCCATTAAATAATAGTTGTGATGGTTCGATTGGCTGGTAATGGTGGTTGACCTGGGTATGTGGTGGTTGGTTATGGGTGGTAATGATGGTTTGATTGACTGATTGGATGATGATGATGATTTGATTGGGTCTGTGGTGGCTCGTTATGGGTCTGATGGTGGTGGTCTGACAGAGGAAAACAAAGCAAAACGGAAAAGGCCAAAGCAACGTTGAAGAGAAAAGAGAAGGGCAGAGCAACATTGGATAATGGCAGACTCGATCGTCCAAAACAACGACTTCGTTATTTAGCGACACCTCCATGGAGCTCTCTATTTTGCGCGAACGAGCGAAGCGTTTTTCATAGGCCCGGATTGTATAGTCTCATTTAACTTAGAGCATCCACAGTGGGGGGTGTAAATTCGGGGGTGTAGCCGTGGGTCTCAGCCTTTTATGTTGACTTTTCTTCATTTTTCTTCTCTTTTCTCGGGTGGGTCCCGCCTGCAAGGGATGTAAAAATGGATGTAAATATAAATTTTATTTTACATCCCCATGGTGGTGATGTATATTTACATCCATTTACATCTCACCATTGGAGACGATTCCAGTGACTCGGGGTGTATATTTAACATACACCCCCATATACACCCCCCACTGTGGATGCTCTTAAAGAAGCGCTGCACCAAATGTGGGTTATGGGGGTTATTTAAGCCAATCCAAGCTAGTCCAATCCAAGGAGGTGTGACAAACAGATCCACAGAGTATTGATTAATTAATTAGAATATAATATAATAGCAGCCAGCCAGCCACCACCTAAAAAACTTCAAAGAGAGGAAGGTTTGAATTAAAAGGTTGAAAGGGATGGGATGGGTTGGGAGACACAAGGGGTAAGCTGTAGGGATTTCAGGGTACGAATGGGATCGCTGTTCGCTCCCCCCACTCACTCCTCCTTTTTTTATTATTTCCTTTCCACCACACCCACATTTTCATTTTTTATATATAATTTTAATAAATAATAATAATAATAATAATACTAATAATGTGGAAGAGAGAGAGAGAGAGTGCGCATTATGCACTCACCCACTGGAACACTCAACAACACCCAACTTTTCTGAATCTTGATGAGTTCTCTCTCAACAACAGTCATCAGTCTCTTTCTCTCTCTCTCTCTCTCTGTCTCTGTGGCTGTAGCTTGTTCCTTTGTCTGTCTAAAATAAACTAGAGAGAAAACTCTTAAAAACACAAAATTCTAAAACTAAATTGCAAATTTACTATATAAAATATTATTAAAATAAAAGGACAGAACCAAAGGGAGTGAGAAGAGAGAGAAGAGAAAAGAGGTGGTGTCGGCTTCGACCAAACACGACCTTAATCTTATCATCCACGGATCCCAATCCGAAATCGATCCTCTCAAAACCCTAATTAACTTATTCCAGTTTACGATTCATTCCGCCTGCTCATTTCTCTCAGCTGATCAGCTCTGAGGTACACTTTGCTCACGGAACCTTTCTTTCAATGGTTAACTATTCTTGTTTTTTTTTTTCTTTTTTTTTGTTGGGGTTTTGGGGGTTTGGTCTGTTTCTTACCCGGAACCGACATCTGTGAGAGATCCAGAGTTTCGGGTTCTTGTTTGGTTTGTGAGAAAATGGTGTAACTGAGGATATGAAATGCTTCAATTTTTCCTTCTACGTTTTTGTTTTGCGCAAATAGAAAAATACTGAATTTTTCTTGTTGGTTTACTTAGTAATGGAAGATGGTTCTAAGTGGGTGTCAAAGAAGTTACGCTTTAGGATCCAAAATATAGGAAAAGTTTTCAGTTTTTTTTTTCTTCTGGAAAGGTGGGAGCAATCTAACGAGACTCATGTTGGAAAGTTTTGAATCCAGGAAAATGCGTTAGATCGTATGCGATCAAAGGCTTGATGAAATTTGCTCCATTCCTGCTTTCCTCTCTTCAGTTTTCCAAAAAAGTGCATTTTGAAATTTACTTTACTGAAAAATTGCCCTTGTTTACGCTAAGAAAGGTTGACGACCCCAAAAGGTTCTCCATTTACGCTTTATTGTTCACAGTTTGGCGCTAAAGCCTCAAATTACAACCTTCTTTTTCTATTTTTTTTGGCCATATTTAAGGCACAGAGCTGGTTCTGCTAACACAAAAAGTGGGTAAATTTTAAGGCTTTAATTATTAGGCGCTGAAGCTAGTTTTACATTGATTATGGATGATAATTAATGGTCTATACTTAATGGGTTTCTCTTAGTTGGTGGCACTATTAATTGGGCAGTGTTGGTTGTCTTGTTTCTATACAAAAAACCTTTTAACGCTTGGGTTTCCACAGGAAAAGCTTCAGGGGTGGGAGAACATTTGTTTAGTTTTGCTATGACATTCTCAGCTTCCAATCATCCCCAAGGCTGTTCCCGGATAGGTTTGAATTTCTCATTTACCAGAGCTTCTTACTATTCTGAAAATTATGTTTTGCATGCTATTAGTACGCTGTACTGAAGTGGAATGTGAAGTTATTGATTAACCTTGTCCTCTTTTGGTTAATATAGTCTTTTACTTACTGAAAAATAAGAAATTGTTGATTATCCTGGGTGTCTATGTAAATCAACCTTATGGATGCTTATGATAAAAGTGTTTGTTTGTGTAAATCATAAATGCTTGATATACATAAATTTTAAGTTTAGTTTGTTGGTGGTGCATTAATGTGGAAACAAATTTTATTGAGGCTTTGGCTAAAATTTTTGTGAGTAATTATTTTATTGATGCTTTGACTGAAAATAGAGTAATTATTTTATTGATACTTTTATGGAAAATAATGTTTTACCATAAATCTATTCTAATTTTCTAGAGAAGTGATAGATTCATCATTTGTTTTAACATTTTTAGTGATGGTCAGTCAATGAGCAGGAGTATATCAAGTTTGCTGAGAGAAGCCTAAATATTGCATCTAGTGGATAGTGATCTATGTAGCTAGATATATCCAGGGAATTTCTGTAGTTTAAATTTGGGATGATAAGATAAACTCAAACCATTGTAATCATCTAATAACCCAAGGCAAAAAGAATGCAAAGAAAAACATTTATAGGATGCTGCGTGCTGTAACTTGTTTCCTGTTTTTGGGTGTTCTTTCATTTTCTTAATGCTCGTCTCTGAATTGAATGTTCTTACATCTTATAATTAAATAATTCTTATCAATATAGCTTGCGGTCTGCAAGGGGCTGGAAAGAGTGAAATGCCTTTGTTTGACTGGGTTGGGTTTATTTGATGTCTGTATTTTGGGTCTGTAGTACTTCTTCCTTGTCCTTGGAGAGGCTAAACTTCGTTGATTATTGTTTATAGGGACGTCTGGTGATGCTTTGTATAAGGAACTATGGCATGCTTGTGCTGGACCCCTTGTCTCCCTTCCACGTGAAGGGGAGCAAGTCTATTACTTTCCACAGGGTCACATGGAACAGGTACGTCTGAGTTCTAAGTTTATATCACAGGTAGCTGTGCTGTTTTCATACTCAGCACTCAGGTTTATTGGTAATGTGGGTTGAATTGTATAACTTCAAATCACTATTTTCTTAATAATGTTAGCAAGTTATGAATTTATATAATGGATTACTTAATACATAAACATGTGTAGTCTTTAAGAAGAAAAAGGACAAACCATGAATTAAAGATAGATATATAGTGAGCTCTCTTGGATAGGTCTGCGTGTTTGTCTTAAGGTTGCCATTTGGCCTTGTTTGGCTTTTGGGGTCTGTTTTTAATTGATGTAACTAGCTAATAACTTGTCTTTATATATATTTTTTCCTTGTAGAAAAAAAAAAGTATCTGTAGTCTTTAAGAACAAATGAACAAACCATATGATGGAGATAGATATAGTGAGGTAATAACTTGTCTTTAGCTTATTTTGCAATATCATGATTACACTAGCTAATGTGAACTTACAGTCACATCTTAAGATCATGAACGTAAAGAAAGGATTATTGTAGCCTCAAATTAGGTGCCTATGTGGTATTTGAGCTTAGTTTTTGGACCTAATTTTGAGGCTACAATAATCCTTTCTTTCTTTTCATGATCTTAAGATGAGACTGTAAGTTTACATTAGCTACTGTCAAACGTACTGCAACTTCTTTTTGTCCAGGCTTGGGACTAGTTTTAAAAGGAAATAGATCATCTCCAAGGGGGCTTGCTAAATTGTAGCTTAAATGACTAGAAAGTTATAGTAGCTAGCCACTTTTGAAGTAGCTTCTCCAACCACGCTGTCTATTTTAGCTAGTTATCAATTTTTTTTTTACTATTTTTTGAATTCAACATTTTGAACTATATTAAAATATCCGATAGCTAGTCCCTAGGAACAACTTTCTCTCACCTCAAGTTTAGGACCTTGTAAAGGTTGATCTATTTTAGGAACTAACGAGATAGCTAGCACGGTTGGAGCACCTTCCTTTTTTATTTATATTTTTTTATAACACTTCTCCAAATTTTAACTAAGTTAAGAGTGATTGCAAGTTCTGTATAATATATGTTATGTGGACTCGGTATGGTGTTGGATGTGACGTATGTATCCTAGAAGTGCTGGCAGTTTCGAAAGTGTTTCCATGAACTTGGAGTGCCTAAAGGGCATGTCCTTGTCCATGTCATGTGAATTGCAAGGTCCGTCTAACCTTTAATATACTTACCTTAGATGCTATACATCGTCTTTACGTGGGGGTCTAGCTTATTGCTTGGTTTGTGGTCCAGCCCCACCTATGTTTTGTTAGAACTCTAAACTTTTGTCCAGTGTAATGTTTGAAAGCTTTATTCAAGCTTGCAACTTTCTTTGGTTTGGGTATTCTGGCGTTTCTATAATTTGGTTTAGTGCATAATTTATATTACTTGCATTCCAGCTTTGTTTTCCTAATTTTTCTGTTTCTTTGGTATTCAATTTGTTACTTATATTTTTTAATTACTACTGAAAATCTTTCTATACAAATATTACATAATTGTTTTTGCTTACTTTTAACTGTATTGTATCTGACAACTGTATCACTATAAACTGATCTCAATAGTCTATTTCTCTGTTAATTTGCTCTGTTATTTTACTTGTACATATCTCACGTTTTGCATGTATGTTGCTTTATTGTAGCTTGAAGCGTCAATGCATCAAGGGTCAGAGCAGCAAATGCCTTCATTCAATCTGCCATCCAAAATCCTGTGTAAAGTTGTTAATGTTCAGCTTCGGGTGGGTGATATCACGAATTTTAGTTTGTAACAAATTAGAGTTTTCTTTTTTTTCTCTGTTGTGCATCAATTCTTGACTCAACTGTCTAGTTGTATGATTGTACTTAATCTGAGTGTAGGCTGAACCTGAAACAGATGAAGTTTATGCACAAGTTACCCTCCTTCCGGAAGCAGATGTGAGTTCTCTCCCCCCAAATAATCATAACCTCTAGAAGTAATAATCAATTTTGATGAATTATGTTCGTTATAATTGCAGTTTGTATCTAGAGTCATAATTGATTGCAAACCTTGTTTCTCCATTTTCTCCTTTCCCTTTTTGTCATGTTTGCCCTAATTTGATTCTTCTTCACGGATCAGCAAAGCGAGGTAACAAGCCCAGATTCTCCACTGCCAGAAACTCAGCGGTGTACAGTCCATTCATTTTGCAAGACACTTACTGCGTCTGACACAAGCACACATGGTGGATTCTCTGTCCTTCGGAGGCATGCTGATGATTGTTTGCCACCACTGGTTAGCGTAGTTTCTGTTTTCAGTTTCTATCTTATTCATACAATATGTTGGCATATCTTTATATTTCTTCTCTTATTTTTCTCCTCGAGTGGAGGTTGGCTCATTACTCTATGCCTACCCTGATTTTCAATTTCTTTCAGGATATGTCCCAGCAGCCTCCGTGGCAAGAATTGGTTGCAGCTGATTTGCACGGAAATGAATGGCATTTTCGGCACATATTTCGAGGTTTGCTTTTATTTATTTATTTGAATGATTTATTGAATATGCTTATAAGAGTAGGCATTGTAACTGCTTCAGCTAGGAATCTTCATAAATTTGCATTTTATGCATCCAACAGTTTAATCAATAAGTTTTCTTAATGTTCGGTTAACCATTTTACCTCAAAAGTCATAACCTTTGTCATTGGAGCAAGTCCAAGACACGTTTGTTTCGATGCCAGAATTTTTCGAGTCTCCCTCTCTTCATTCTGGAGTGATTCCAAGAAACTTTTGGTGTGATGTTAAAGTTCGGATATCCCCTTTTCCTTCTGCTTATGCTTTGTCCTAAATCACTTATTATGTATCCTTTGATAGAGCCACTTTAGAGGTTAGTCCTCTACAAGTTCTTTGCCATGGGAAATGCAATATCTCAGGAGGATTTATGTGACTTTATCTCTCAATTTTTTTGGGTTGGTCTGCTTATCATTGATTTGGACTGACTTGTCCTTATTATTAACTTTTTGGTTCAGCCTTCTTTGTCTATTTGCTGTATTTATTTCCTCAACATCTTTTTGTCTTTCTAGTGTGCCCATTTGTTCAACATCTTTATCTATTTATTGTACTCATTTCTTCAACAAGACCATATATTTTCTCCGACTTTACTGTGAAAATCATGACTTTTAAATTCAGCATTATGTTGTGGAATATTTGTATCCATATGTTGGTTACGATGGCTGGCATCTTATGATGTTGCCTTTATTTTATGCTCTTTTCAGTGTGATAGTGGGCTCCTATGCTTATATTGTTATTACAATTTTACTCTTCTAAAATAATCCAGGGCAACCTAGGCGGCACTTGCTCACAACTGGGTGGAGTGTTTTTGTTAGTTCTAAGAAATTAGTAGCTGGTGATGCCTTTATATTCCTAAGGCAAGTCTATAGTCAATGAAGAGGATTAATTAATTTTGCGTTTGTTACTTATATCGTTAAATCTGTGTGCTGTTTGCTTATATGTCATTTTACATGCATGTTCTAGAGGTGAAAATGGAGAGCTGCGTGTTGGAGTAAGGAGACTCATGAGACAACCAAGCAACATGCCATCGTCTGTTATTTCTAGTCACAGCATGCATCTTGGAGTTCTAGCTACTGCTTCTCATGCTATTGCAACTGGGACACTATTTTCTGTCTTCTACAAGCCAAGGTATTGTTTCTTTTGCTTTATTCATGGAGGCCAATGAGTAGTGTCCCAATGTTCTTGTAACCTGATTATGTGTACTTTCTCTGACTATTTGATGTCTGATATATGGCACTAATTTTAAGTGTGAAAATGGTGGTTTGAATAAACATGTTTAGTAGGTATTGGTACTGACATAATCTACTCTTTTAGAGTACATATATACAATATATATTTTATGAAACTTTTAGAGTACATTTTCGTTGTTGGAAGAATGAGACATCTTTTAACAAGTTAATCGGGTTGTGCATTTCAAATTGTCAAGTTGTGTAGTTTGAAGCCTGCTTCCCCCCTGTTGGTCATTCTTTGTGTTTGTTCTCTTACTCAAATCTATCCTGAAAAAAGAAAATATTTTGCTGGCCCTATTTGTCACAGAACAAGTCGATCTGAGTTCCTTGTAAGTGTCAACAAGTACCTTGAAGCGCACAGTCACAAACTCTCTGTTGGAATGAGGTTTAAGATGAGATTTGAGGGTGAGGAAGTTCCTGAAAGAAGGTATTTTTGTTCTGCTTGGTATCTTATGAAGGAAGTCATAGCATTCGAACCTAACAAATTTCACTGCACTACAGGTTCAGTGGCACAATTGTTGGTGTTTGCGATAATACATCACCTGGATGGGCAAATTCTGAGTGGCGATCACTAAAGGTTTCTATATTTTTCCGTGGATGTTCCTAATTTGAGTTTTGAGTCAGTCCAATAAGATATTTTTCTGTGCATCTAATGTGTAGTTGTTAGATAATTCTGTTTCATTTTATCTTCTTTTTTTTTTCTTTTCCTAATTTAGAAATGTTCCAATGAGTAATGATATTATTTTTTTCAGGTCCAATGGGATGAGCCCTCTTCAATATTGCGACCAGATAGAGTATCCCCATGGGAATTGGAGCCACTGGTGGCAACTACTCCCCTAAACTCCCAACCTGCACTGAGGAACAAGCGGGCGCGACCTCCTGTTTTACCTTCGCCGTCCCCAGATCTTTCGGCACTAGGTATGATTATTTTCATAGTGATGTGTGATTTGTAGTCTGTCTTGGACATTTGATTCTGATTTCCTTTATGGTCTTTGTGTACTAGGTGAGTGGAAATCCCAAGTTGAGTCTCCTTCAGCTTTCTCCTATAGCGACCCACAACGTGGCCGTGACATTTATCCATCACCCAAGTATAATTCTGCTTCAAAAGCCAATTCTCTGTGTTTTACTGGGAATAATTCTTTGGCTGCTGTTTCTGGGAACTCAATGTTTTGGTCTAATCGAGTTGATGGTGTAACGGAGTCTTTCTCACCCATTACGAACAAAGATTCTGGGGAAAGGAGACAAGGCGGTGGGAATGGATGTAGACTGTTCGGAATCCAGCTACTTGAAAACTCTAATGTAGAGGAGTCTTCACCTGTGGTTATGGGGTCTGGGAAATTGGGGGATATTCGACCAATTTCATCATTTGATGCCGAATCTGACCAACATTCCGAACCGTCAAATGTCAATCGATCTGATCTCCCTTCAGGAAGTTGTGATGCTGAGAAGTCGTGCTTGAGATCACCTCAGGAATCGCAAAGCAGGCAAATCCGGAGTTGCACCAAAGTAGTCTTTTTATCCCTCAACCTAATAATATTTTGTTTTCCAACCTTTTATTGGATTTGGTGCAATTTTTGGTTCAGTATTCTATGGGCTTGTCAATATTGATGTCTACATTCAAATGCTTGTTTCTTTTTCTATATAAAAAAAAAGTAAGAATCATGTCAGTTCTGTCTTTATTATATACAATTCCTCTGCTGGCGTCGTTTTTCTCAAGAAAGGACTACACTCTGGATTATGCCTCTTCATTCCTTTTTTGACAAGTCATTGGGTCTTGGGTGTTGGTGGTGACTGTCTGATCAATTGTTTTTTCATTTAAAAAAAAATTTGTCTTAGGTTCACATGCAAGGGATTGCTGTTGGACGAGCCGTAGATTTGACACGGTTTGAGCAGTACAAGGATCTGCTTAAGAAACTGGAAGAGATGTTTGATATTGAGGGTGAGCTCTGTGGATCTACAAAGAAATGGCAGGTTGTGTACACCGATGATGAGGATGACATGATGATGGTTGGGGATGATCCATGGCAGTAAGTTCATTTTACCAACCCTTGAATTCTTCATTTGAGTCTCACAGTTGAAGATTGACTGCTTAAGTGCTTCAATTGTATCTCATCTTAAAGTTAAGAACTAAGAACACCTGTGGTCCTCTTTCGGACTCTTAAAAGGAGCATAATGATTAGATGGTGTTGGGACAGTAGAACTGAAGATTCTTTTTTGTTTATTTTAAAGTTCGGGTATCCATCCCATTTATGAACTTCCTCCGGACATAATTAGGTTAATGAATCTAAACTTTATGCCTTTGAATATTCATCCCGTAAAATCTATGTACTTTTGTTGCAGTGAGTTCTGCAGCATGGTTAGGAAGATTTTTATCTATACAATAGAGGAAGTCAAGAGGTTGTCACCCAAGATAAAACTTACACTCAATGAAGAGGTCAAACCAGGAAAGCTAGATTCTGAAGCAGCAGTCAACACCGAAGACCAGTCATCCATAGTGAGACCTGCATACTGATCTGCCCCCGTGTCTCTAGCTATATAATGAAAAATTGAAAAAAAAATAAAAATTGGAAAATGGAACTGGATTGTCACGTGAGATTCTGTCTGCTAGGATGATGCTATCTATGACAAACTACACATGCTGGAAGAATTGGTTGAGTTTCCCAGCATGCTGAAATGGAGGGGGGCAGTGGCCTGTAATGCACATGCAATCTGGAGAGTCACTGCTCGTGACAGGGTTTGGGTGTTATGGTTATTGGTTGTCTAGCTTTGCCAAGAGGATCTCATAGTGCTTCCTTGTTTGGACCCAAATGGGCTACCAAAGTTTTTCTACTGTGTATGGCGGGGTAGATGCTCTCCATCTTCATCTTCTGTTATTTTTTTTTTGGTCCTTTTGGTTTTGTATTTATTTTCTCTTTGTGATACTTGTCGAGACATGTTGCATTGAGCTTTTGTACATAAGTATATAGCCTTCCATTTCTTGCTTGCAAACGACTTGCGTCTAGTTTTTTGCCGGGAAGAAGCTTTTGGGAGTTCAAAGCCTTGTTTGTGCTTCCGGGATTCCTGTCACCTTGAGATGCTCATGCTACAGCTGATGATGCTGCATTTATGATTGTACATGCTGTTTGCCTATGCAGTGCTTGTTTGTTATACAAGTACAGGAATTTATATTGTCTGCATATCTCTTTGTTTAGAGGAAGAGAAAATTGACCTTTTACTGTCAAGGCATGTCGATTTAGTCTAATTTTTTACTTACCTTACCCATGAAAAGTCAATGTACGGCAGACCTTAGTGTTAAAAGACTCAAAAAAAAAAAAGAAAAAAAAAAGAAGGAAACTGGGAACTGGTAACCAATTAAGATGGCCCTTGTGTGTTATAAAATTTGACTCAACAGGGCGAGTACAAAGATGAATGAGATGGGAGCGGATACTTGAGAAGAGGATTGGGAATCTGTTCAAAATTGTTTAGTTTTGGCCGGATTTTAATCTTATGTAATGCTATTCTGGTTATAAATTCTTCTGTCATGGATTCAATTGGGTTTGGTATTGATTTATTTTTAAAGAAAAAGAAATTGGTTCCCAGTTACTATTTATATATTCTTAAAAATTAGATATGAACTCGAAACTCAAGCATTCATTAGTGCGTTGCTTATGCCTTGTAAGGCAACTTCAAAGGTTGCCGTTTGACAGCATGCACCAGTATGCACATACTATCTACCTCAACCTGATAAGATGAGACTCCAGAATATTATAAGGTGAATATTATACCTAATATAAGGGTTCAAATTATTTTAAAAAAAACCCTACATGAAGTGGACTTTAGAAACACACTCAAAGACTATTTACAACATAACAAAAAGGCTTCGAACTTCCTATATTTTACAAAACTGCCATCTGTTTTCATAAAACATGCCCAACCTCAAAATCTCACCAAAAAAATAAAAACCCCTAAAACACTCAAAACAAAAGGATAAAACTGGTTCAACAAAAAAAAAAAAAAGGTAAAAACCGAAATTAGTATATTAAGTAAACTCAAAAATAGGACAGCTGGCAATATTCAGAGAGACGGACCCTTGGCCCATCACTAGTAACATGATATTGTCCCTAACTTAACCACTTGTTTAGACCACACGTACAACCAATTCCACATTGGCCACCTTTTTCTTTTCTTTTTTCTTTTCCATTTGGGGTTTGTTTGATTTAGGTTTAATCGGGCCCAGGCAACAGACCCACTCTAATACCATGTTAAGATTTCAGAAAGACGAACCCTTGGCCCACCACTATCAACATCGATATTGTCCTCAACTTAACCACCTGTTTAGGAGGTGTGGAGTTTTATACAAAAGGCCTTGATATTATTAGGAGTTGAACCATTTATTATATAAGACTTTCTATTTTGTTAAGTTTCCGATGTGGGACTCGTGTATTCTTTAACATGCACATCTATATAATTCGATATGAAAAACACATTTAACTCATTGAAATATTATACAACACTAGTAAAGTTCACAGAGTAATTGCAAATAATATAATTGAATTTGCTAGTGTTCTAGCCCAATCATGCCTAATTCGGGCATGTTCCATCAACAATATCTTTGAATTTTGAGAGCTCGCTTAGGAGTGTTCGAGGCTCGCAAACAAGAAATTTCAAAAAAAAAAAAAAAGGGCAACAAGAAACCGACTATTACTTCTTCAAAGGAGATCCAGACTGCTGTGAGACTTGTTGTCTGTTACCAAAGTTTACTACTAGCTCTTGAAGAGTTAGGGTTGTTTCTATGTTTTGTGTTTTGTGTTTAGGAGGGGGTGTGAAGATATTAGGGTTGAGTACTGATCTTGTTCAGTCACGGTTGAGATTGAAATGGGATCTCGTTCAGTCATGGTTGAGATTGAAATGGAATGGAAATATACGTTTGGCTCAAAAAAGAAGGAAAAACGAGTGGTTTCGAACACAAATGATCATATTATGTGGTAAGGTAGTAATAAAATTGTGTATTTTGCAATACTCGCAAATTGGCCCCAAGGTCGTTTGTCTTATCTGAAGTACCCAAAACAACCGCGAGCGAGTTTTTTTTATAGTTACATCGGAGGAAAGAAACCCCACTAGGGTTCGATTTTGAGTGCCATGGGAGGAGGGGGAATCCACCACCACAGCGAGCGAGTTTAGCTACAATGAATACCATCGTCAATGGCATGGAGGATCCAAGTGTCTAGCACTTGACAATCAACAAGTTTGGCCCTCTTGCATCGAACGAAAATAGCCCAATTGATTACAACATTCTCCTTATGCCTTTTCGTAGATGCGCGAGTACTCGAACGAAAATAGCCCAATTGATTACAACATTCTCCTTATGCCTTTTCGTAGACGTGCGAGTACCTTTCGTATCTACTGTTACTCTTGTCGTTAATAAAAACATCTCCAATAGTAGTAGCAAATCAAACTCTTCAAATTAAAGTTTGTTGACCAGGCTGTTGGCCTGGTCCGTGACATTGGGCATCGAGGGCAACCACCCTGGGCCTATATAAATGTTCAAGGCTATGCTACAAGTGATATTTTGAGAGCCTAACGATACAAGGTCCCAAATAAAAACTATGCAAGGGCCCACATTTAATAGAACTACCATACTTAAGCCAGATTTCACATGTGTAGAAAAATTTTAGAGTGGTGATTTCCCCACTCCAATTTTATTAAACTACGTTTGCATATAAATGAAAAAGGGCCTCATTTTTAATTTCTGGCCCCGAGCCACTTAAAAGTCAGTGCGGGCCTAGGGTGGCTCATGATGGTTGGGGGTGGTGGCTGCTCGAAAGAAGAAGCGGGCTTAGATGTTTCTTGGTTTTTTTTTTTTTTTTTTGTCTGTGTTGTTGTTAATTATTCAATTATTTTATTTATTTATAAACTGAACTTAGTAATTTTTTTTAAAACAATTACTCTTTTATTATTTTTTAAAACTTTAATGAATTTATTAACGATGGTTTAACAGAATGGACAAAATTAGGGGAATAAACACGGGAGTAAATTGGCCAAATTAAAAACACGAATGGGAGAACATTTTGACATTTATTCCTTTTCTTTTTAATCACATGAGTCAGTCAGGTCAGTGGAGGAACAACGGTTAGAAGATTTGAAAATTGAAAAGCAAAGTGAAATCCAATCCATGTTGAAAAAAGCACACCGCTCCTTGAAAAAGATGCCATACCAAACCTCTTAAAAGCAGTATGTTAACTCATGACCCATTCTTATAATTTCCTGCTCTGCTCTCACGACTCACCCCCAGTTCTCCCAACTCCTAACTTATAGCTTTTTGCACCATTGCAGCCCAAAAAGAAGAGGCAGAAAAATGATAAAAGCTGTGAAGAAGCTCAAGTTTTGGTCAAGAAAAAAGAGAAAAAAGAAAACTCACCACCTCCAACCCTACTATCCTCCTCCACCACCAACACGACCAGCACCGCTGCCGCCCGGACCCAGGCATCATTGCTGCTCATGCTCATCGTCCGCCTACTCAACTCAGCCTTCAGCTCCACCCTTACCTCCATGGCTGGATGCCGAGTACACCCATGAGGCTCTTTTGGCACCTCAAGTCCAACCTGCCCCAGAATTTGGCTACCAAGCAGATCCAAGACAACAAGAACCTACTATGAAAACCAATGCAGGCAGTGGCACCACCAGCACCTGCAGTCCACTGTATCTCTATCCAACCTCATCGTCTTATCAGCAATACATGGTTCCAGATCCTGTGTATGGATTACCAGTTGCACAAACACAAACACAAACACCAAGAACCACAACAAGGGAGAGATCCGCTGCTGCCAGGGTCTTCGGTTGTGTTGTTGACTTTGGCATCCGTTTCTTTCGTTGTTTCTGTCCCTGTTTTCACATTCGCGAAGTAGTCCTCCAGTAATATGATATATTAGTTGCATTGTATGAGACATATAGGCGTTTCTCAGTGGAATATAATGTTAATTTCTGGTACAGATTGATTATAATAAAGATGTATATATATTCCGATGTGTTTAGTTTCTGGTACAGATTGAGGAATAATCCCCTGTTATCCGGAGTTGAGTTTAGTTTCAAATGAAAATTCAGCTGTACCAGAAAGGAGGAGGTCACTTCTTTACCTTGCACTCAAGCTGAACCTCAGCAACCCTCCGAGCTGTATCTTGTAACTGTGAAAAGAGCAGGTCAAGTTCACAAAACATGAGAGAAGAGATACCATCTCTTCCACCTTTATGCCCTTGAAAACCCCATTCAACTCCACAACATAATCACTTGTAACATATCTGCATTTCAATTCAAGCCACCCAATTCATGATATAGAATTTCTGGTCTTAAAATAATAAAGTAACATGGAATTATGAAAAGTTTGCCAGTCCTTAAAATCTGTCTCTAGCTTGATAAGAATGACAAGTTTTGAATTTTATTCTAAATAATAAGAAAAGAGTAAGATATATCAGTATTAAAGAAAGAAAAAAAAGCATTATGGTTACAATAGAAAGTGAGGGAAGGCCACAAGAAGTAAAGTGAATGAGGATAAAGTGAGGAAAGGCCACAAGAACATAGCAGCCCCAGGTGAAAAGCACCGCAGCATGACAGATAATATGAATGGAAATATGTCTAAACTCCTAAAGATTACGGAAAGAGAAGGGGAAGCTTCATCATTCCTAGCACATTCGATTGACACAAACCTACCAGGTTTCAGAAATGGTAAGCAGTACTTTGGAGAAAGGACAATATCACGAAGTTCCTTTTTCTAACTCTTGTACTGCTGTAATAGATTGTAATAATTCTTTACACTATCTTCTTCTTCAATTATAATTGAATCCCCTTCTTGCTCAAGGTCCTTTCTTTGTTTCTGCATTAGTAACATAATTCACAAATAGAAGTGATTGCATCAGTAATTTCTTAATAGATTTATTTACATGGTTCCAGCTTGAAACTGATAGAATGACAAATTGCAAACAAATACAAACAAATCTCAACCAAGATACAAAGAGAAGAAACACAAATTGCAATTACAAGATTACTACCCTAGTCAAAGCCAGCCAACCTCAAGATTGGGGATGGCACGATCAGCTTGAAACTGGTAGAATGAGTTTGGGTCATTTGAGCCTTTTGTCTTTGGGTCGTTCTATTGGAATGAAGCTTGGGTTGACGATTTCAGTAACCTTTTATTAATTTTGGGCTTATAAGCCTTCTGTTTATTTTGGGTTTTTCTTGGAACAAACACTCAAGTTGCTCTTTTAAACAATGGAAGGGGGATTCGAATTTTATGAATACGAGTAAGTTGTTTTTTTCAAACTTGAGACATTTTTAATATTCGTAAGAGAAGTATTTAGCTAGTTGATTACAAGCTTAAAGATGTCAAAAAAGTTTTGCAGCCCATTCTTTCAATGTTTTTTAAAAGTAAAAGTTGCATATATTATAGATGGCTGCGTAATGGATTTCACGTAATTCAAAACTGTTAGCTCTCAATAATACAAAAACACAAGCACAGCACCCGACACTCTGCTCTGTATCATGTCCTGTTGCTAATAAAACCTTCATTCACATCCCTAAATCAGCTAAATTAAACAAGTCACATTCTTTGCGGACATAACCTTCTTCTAAACATTCTTAGAGATGAATATCACGTGGCTAACTTCCTGCTTTTATGATCTCGTTTGTGATCACGAGATCTATGATCTGCATGGTGCTTCTGGTTGTGCTTCCTTCCAGATTCGTTGTTATCTTCAGATGAATCTGTGGCCTCCAACCTATTGGAATGTCTCCTATGGCTTGATTGGCTGCTACACAGTGATCTGTTTTCACTGTCACGCTTGCGATCGTCGAGTGTAGACTTTCTCCTTGATTTTCGGTGTTTTGAATGAGCTACCTTGTCAGATTCATATTGATCTTCCTGGCCAACTTTATCTTCTGAATCAAAATCACTTGATTCACCTCTTTCATTATATGGACCTGGCCTGCCAGACTCATAACTCTCTGAACTTCCAGCTTTCGTTTTAGAATTATGAAATATCTCAACAGAACCATCTTCGGGTTCCCAGCGATCCTGTTTGTCCATGCGTACATCAGATATGCATCTTATATCAAAATCATGTGATCTATATCTCTCACCATCTTGACCCAAACTGCTGGACTCGTGGGTTCCATCTGACTTCAATTTTTTAACAAGAGCCTCTGCTTCTCTCATCTCTAGGCTCAGACGATCATGTCTATGTTCCAAATTCTGTGCCGGGACTCGATCCTCATCTGAAATATCTGACACTTCATCCAAGCGCTTTGATCGTTTCCTAGCATGACTAGGGTTTCTTTCTGCATCATTTTCCGACAAATCATGACTAAGTTCATAACTACAAGACCTGGTGGTTCTATCCCCGTGATTTGAGAATTCAGAAGCTTTGCTAATGTGTCCGAATCTTTTCCTCCTACTGTGGTGCTTGCCACCTTTGCTGTTGCTGTCTGACCACTCTTCATCCATATCATGAGTTCTGTTCTTTCTGTCGTTATGATTATCTGGACATCCCACTTTCCTCTTGTGTCCTGAACTTTTCCTGTTGTCATGGTATGCATCTCTGTCTTTGTCCCTATCTGACCAAACCCTATCAACTTCATGATTATGGTTCTGCCAATCTCCATATTCATCCAGGAACTCTCCTTTCCGCTGTTGGCTTGAGCTTTCCCCGGTGCAACCATGCTGTGTTACTCTGTTCCGTGCCCTATCAGACAAATCTCCGTCAGATTCAGTTTCATAGGTTTTGTTCTTGTGGCCCCTGTTTCGTTGTCTTGAGCTTTTCCTTGTGTGATCATGGTGTCTATCTCTGTCCTCTTCCCTATCCAACAACTGTCTATCAAATTCAGTATCACACCTTCTGCTCTTCCTACGATGATAGTCTTTTAAGTTCTCATTCTCTTCACATCGATCCTCATCAAGAGTTTTTCCTTGATGTCTATCATCACCTGTATGCCTCTGTCGTTCTGCACCCTTTAAAACATAATCTTCACTGTCATATCTTCTACCAGAACCAATGAAACTCGAGTAATCCCTCCCTCTAGATCTAGATCTTCGCAACCCGTACCTGCATCTGTAAACTATAAGAATCTATCTATAAGGAAAAGAGGAAGAAAAACACAAGTTAACATAGAGAACAAACTCTCTTCTCAACTGCTGCACTGTTTTGCAATGCAAACAATATAGAAGAGTTGGAAGACAAAGACCAAGAAGTTCTCACAAATCTATTGTATTGTTCACCTGACCAATAAAATAAGGAGCATTAAATCCAACACCTAACATCAAATTATGCCCTTCATAGTAATTCATATAAATATAAAATAGTTAAGCCTGTAGATCATACAAACTTCATCCAAATTAACAAATGGGCACTTCAATCACAGGGAAAAATTTAGCACATTAAACCCGAATGAGGGCAGTTGTAGTTTCACATTACCATCATCGGCTGCTTTCTACCAAAAATGGTTCTTCCCTCAGATGCATAACTGCATATGGTTGGGACATGCAATATAACTGATGATATTTTTATGTGCTATATAAACCCTGGCATCAAACAAGATAAATTTCTACAATGCAAACTGTCACATGCAGATTGGTCCGTCTTTTCTTGCCCTTTTTCGATGTAAATTGGGAGGTTGTAGTTCTAGGGATTGAATCTAATAGCATAATAAGTTTTGTCGGTCACCTAATATTTCCAAAAGCTTAAGCTGCTGCTAAATGAAAAGATTACCTCTCAGAATCTGCCATTGTCATCTTGCTAGAGTTCCTCAGCTGTCCAAAATTTTCCTCTACCATCTGTTTCTCGTCTGCATCAGAATAACCAAATAAAGCGACCATTTTCCTCACCCAATATTTTGGGGCCGGTCTATCACTATCAGCCCATTCATAGTCTCCACCAGGATTGCGGAAACAGTGGATAAAATTGCAAGCTGTACCATGGGAACATGTCTGCAAGATGAAACAAGAAAGATTACAAAAGAGAATGGTCAGACTTCAAAGTTAGAATTGACATATAAAAGCCAAAGCTTATTTTATTACTCCAAAACAAAATTCTGTCAAATTTATTCGATCTAAAAAGTACGACCCAATTTAACACCTACTCTAGAGTAAGACTCAAATAGAAAAGTGGGAAAGGACTGTACCTTGTACCTCGACTTCATATATTCCCCACATATGGCAACCTTCCATCGGGTCACATTGATAAATTCGCAACTTATCTGTTAAAAACAATAACTAGGTCAACAAAACCACCCCCAAAGCTGAGAGTTCGGAAAAATGTAAACAAAGTCAGGAAATTAACATGTTATGGAAGTGAAAGATAAATAAAGAGATTTGAGAATGAAATAAAGAGCTGATGGCTTCAGTGTACACATTAATAATTCAAAGCCTAAATTTACAATATACACCTCAATAAAACGTAGTTCCTTTAAAGTAACATACTTTTCAGTGGCTGTGTGTGCATGTCCAACAGATGCCTATGTATCGCTTCATAGAAATGCCAAATTCAAATTCAAATTCAATTTATCCCTTCATTCAATAGCAATGTGTAAAGTATGAAACAATGAGAAATTATATATATTCATTTGAAATGACAAGCCATATCAAATGTGTTCCAGCACACCTAGCAATGCAATTTTTGCAGTGGGATTCAAAAAATCTGAGAATATATAGACAAAATATCTGTGAAAAGGGGATCTATCCATCAGTACATAATAGGATCTACTCATCTGTACAGTTTTTGACTTGAGTTGTGATCATGCATCTTAACTATAGCAGAGGAGATGCCATGCAGTTGAGGTAACAAGGTCTAATATATTTTTCCTATGCCAGATATCTCATATTCTCAGCAAGAACAAAAGTAAATCAAACCCGTTATTACCGAGTAGGTACATGATATGCCTTACAGGTAATTCAACAACATAAAATTACTTTTGCCAAATCGAATTTCTCTCTCATTTTTCTTATGATTTTATTAAAACCAATTAACTGATTAAATAAACACAAAAATCCACCCCAACCAAGATGAATTACAGTAAAAGGGATATCCTGACATGTTTTAGACAAAGAAACCTATAGCAAGGCTGGGAAATAAGTTAGTTAAACTGGTAGCCAGCTATAATTAGAAGCAAGCAGACAACTATGTAAATATCAACTCAATTACATTAAACTTCAAATAAGCACTCATTCAAACACAAAGGAAATGCAATACCTGTTTCCCAGCAAAGTAGCGACCATTGATAGATTGATGTGCAAGCACAGCTGAATCCAGTGATTTGTAGTGTATGTACACGTTTCCCCTCAAGTGGAATGCACCATTTCTACACACCTGACACAGATATTCACATGTCACTGTAAGATTACCAACAGAGAAATTGGATGGCCTGAATAGGAAGGTAATGTCCAAATGTAAGAAGAGATTTTGGGGGGGGG